CCCCAAAACCCCAAAACCCCGTAATCTCACTAACTAAGTAATTGCATCTCATAATAAAAATAAATATTCTTATAATTAATAATAAAATAAACTATCAAATATGGAGGAATCAAAGACAGAAGAAATATATTTTAATGATGAACAAATACTTTCAGAGCAGTCTAGTTATAAAAATGATTAATCATTAGAAATACTTTAAAATGAGATTAGCTTGCTTAATCCTTAATTAGACTTATAAATGATTAATTAAATACGCTTAGAGTGTAATAAAAATGTGCGATAAGTAAACTATCATCAAGATGAGGATTTTATTATAAGGAAAAGAGAGTAGTCCTTTGATTTACTAAATTTGTCATTCTACTAATATGACTTTAATTGTTAAGTAATAAAAAACTGTTGATAAGAGAATGATATTTCATTATATAGATTTGGAATATTTAATAATTTGATTATAGTATATGGTTAACACATATAATGTATATTAATTGACCAAGATTTCAATTTGATCAATAATACATTAGATTTTTAAGCAATTACAATATTCTAATAAAATGACCTATTAATTGTCTCTTAAAAAAGATAACTTAGTGTGATTAAATAAAAAAATCAAAATAATGACCCAAAAACACAATGAATGGTTGATCAAACTCAAACATATAAACAAGTTAAACCCATGGAGGCTTAAGATATATAACTGGACATGCAATACCTAGATGAATACAACTAATATTTATAAGCTAAACAAGAATATCTAAGGTAAAATAACGAGAATATCCTTGGAAAATAGTAGCTTAGACCATCTTGAAAGCTCTGATGATTTTGTCAATTTAGGTAACAAAAAAATGCATAATCAAAATTTAACAATTTAAAAAAGATCAACAAAAATCCTCACCATTAAATAAAAAATGCCTAAACAAATAATAATGTAGCAAGCTTTGGGGGGGAAAAATTTACAAAAAAGGTCAATAGATCTTAAAGATAATAGAAAAGAAAATCTAATTGAGAATAAATTTAATTAACCCTCGAAAAATTATCCCCATACAAATCAACTACTGTACGAAGAAGGCTAAGAAGAAAATAATGAAATCGATAAATATAGGTTTTAATCAGGATACGACTAGACTTATCTTGGGGTACTAAAATTCGATCATTGGACATAATACCTCATTAAAAGCCAAAAGATACTAAGAATAATTAAATACCAAGTAATTTTAGGGAGTTTACAATGATCAAATGATTTTTATTAATTAAGAAATTCTATGTTAACTATATCATCTTAAGTGATCTTTGCATTCAGGGGTTTTGGGGTTTTGGGGTTTTGGGG